GTACCGGTAACTCCAAGTACACATAGAATCCTTTAAGATACGGTTCATTTCATATTAAACAAATGCCACGTCACCTCATTTAACAGCCTAATACACTTGATATTTTTACACAGGGTGCAACACCAAATCAGTAAAGAATGTAAAAAAGCAAAAATAAAAATCTCCCCACTATCCCTTTTTTTCAGATGCCATGTACATGTTACAGGAACAGAAAGCTTTTTGCCTAAGTTCTAAATACATGTTACCCTATAGTTGGGCCAGTCACAACCCCGGGGCTGCCCCAACTACTGGTATACATGTATGCATGATCGGCAAAGCTCTACAAAAAACTTCTTAATCTGGTCCAAGTTTATGCAGCTCAAGCCTGACATGATTCATTCCAAATATGCCAACCTGGGATCAACTAAATTGTTTCTGCAAACACAAGTTGTTGATATACAGGTAAATGAAACAATTGTGTCGCGAGCTGTGGCACACATTGGCTCTCTGTGTTGGGCTGGCCCAACCACATGTATCAGTTGGGACTGATGCTGAAGTTGGGGCAAATACAGACCTGTACACGAACCAGTCTCTGGAGAGGAGTTTTACCACCTGTCGGCCCACCATGGCATCTGCCTAAATTTACATGTGCAAACAGACGTGATGTTTCTCATCAAATTCTGAAACCACAACCACATTCTTGTTGAAGCTGCTCACCGGGGCTCGCTCATTTGACCATGTTTAATAAGAAGTTAATGAGTGGATTTTTAACGGCTTTCCTCCACTGCCAACCAGGCGTCTGTTTCTGTGCAAACACTCGATGGCAGCAAACACAAGTGGCATTTAAATCAATAGCGGGGACAGCCGGAAAGGGCCCCTCGGCCAAATCAATTGATGGATGGGCCGAGACTGTGCAGTAACAAAATGGTCAGCTCTGAGGTAGCGACCATCTTGTATTCAACACCTGCCTGCAAAGTGCTGGCATTATGAGCCAAGTACACACCTCCTAGTCTGTGTACATGTACAGGGCTGAACCAGCTTCATCCTTTTAACCGCATAATTTTGATGAACCCATCCTTGGCACAACTCACTGTACATGTACATTGTATGTTCTCTTGGGAGGGAGGGGAGGAGGCCAGAGATAAGATGGGCCCGAATCTGGGTATTGGAATGATGCAGGAAATATAGACATTGCAATGTGCCGTACAGCGAGTTGTACCTGTTCATTCATCGTGTTCATATAAACGTACATGTACATGTATGGTATATTTACACAAGAATTATAACCAATTGCAACTTGCTATGTCATACATGTACACAGTGGTACATGCTCCCAGTATTTGCATCAACTTGTACTGTTACATTGTTTTACTTCCAGTACATGTTTTACTTGATGAGGTTTACCATCGAGGGCAGTCACACAAAGGGGACAAAGACTGTTCCTGTCCTCGGTGGTCAGTTTGTTGTTAGTTCTCTCCTCTCTGGTATTGAACTATTTAGTGGCTGTTCTCAGTCCATGAGAGTTGGAAGTAACAGTGTGTCGTCTTTGGTGGGTTTTTTACTTGTATTCTTTGCCTCTATGTACATGTACATGTAGCTGCAAGACCTCGTGTCCCTTTAATTCTCTCATCAACCAGCCCACTAGTCAGAATCATCTTCGGGGGCTTGATTTTGCTTTCAAGAGCTTGTGAATTGAAAAGGAAACACAGACTTGACTAGTTTAACAAATCTTGGCATGTTTCTATAATATTGTTGCGGCAGTTTAATGAGTTTGATTTCACACGAAGATGTACAAACTTTTCATCTTTAAAATTCCGCTATGAAGAACACTATGGACATACTGCCTCGCTGCACTTTTCCAGTCAATGACATCCCTGATAGGTCGGCAAGTCTGAGTACATGTTTAAAATTGCAATATCAGATTTCCACAAATTGATCTGAACGAGGAAAGAAAGGAAACCTGGGCACAAAAGACAAAACAATCCCGCAAGACGGCAAGACATCAATCATTCACGCTCAATCTGGAAGTGCAGAGAGCTTTCCAGTCATTTTGAGAGATCAATAACGCAGGTTTCGGGAGTGGACTGGCAGGGGGCTGTAATCTGCCACGATAGAGCGAGTCAATATTTGTCTAAATCCAAAGCTGTCATTTTCCCCACTAGCATGATTGAATAATGGGCAGGGTGATATTGAATAATGGGCAGGGTGATATTGATCCCATTTTAATACTGGCAGGGACCTTTTTATCCTTACCTTTAAAAAAACATTTGCAAAACGTTAATACATATAGGTGTCACTCGCTGCGAACTAAATGCAAAGTGCAACTACATGCACAAACAAATACAACTGTGTTTGTACCATGCACGCGTGCACATGTATGAAAATAGATTGCACGAACGTTACCAGTACAGTCATTAGTTTATAATCAAGGTTAAGAGTTTTCCCATGTCTTACATTTGCTCTCAGTTATGAACAACATAAAACAAAGACTGATAGTGCATGCTAGCCTTCTCTGTATACACAAATGTTTGACTGTATATACTGTGTGCATTTTTTATCCCTCTTATTTTCACAAAGAAATCTGAGCAGGAGTACAACATCAGGGTAAATTATTGTGATGACGAGTTGTAACGTACATGTAGGGCCGCCATTTTGTGAAGTTTGTCCAAAGGTAAATGTACATTCATGTATCAGTCATAAATCAGAAATATGATTAGAAGCCAGTGAAATGTTCCTTTGAGCAAGTTTTTCCCTCATTCTAATTCCCATGCACCAGTTTTTTTACATGTACATGTACACAGTACATGTATGTACAGGTAGCTTTCCAAGCCTAACATGAACAGGTTGAGCCAAAGACTGATAGAAATCAACAGGGTCCACGGGCATGATAAATTCACTTGTGGGACATTTGGCGCAGCAACTACATGCATCAATCACTTAAAGGGGAAACAACCTGATGTGTACACTGGTACATGTACATGTCATTGGCAGATACCCAAGCATCATACCACTTTTTATTCAATGCTGAATAAATAATCTATTGCGGGTTGGTTACAATGTATACACTGGTGCAGAGGTATTGTTTTTATTGTGGTTTGGTGTGTTTTCAACTATTTTATTTTTAAAATAAATATTTGAGGTGTACTTGTATATTTATATATATGCATGCAATATATTTAATTACACAGATCTGTTAATCATGGTTAATGTTTTCACTTGCAAGTTTAAAGGTAAATATTTTCCAGAGTTTCAGCGTTGTACATGTACATGTAACTTGCGATATGTAATCTGATTTATGGAAAAGAAACTCATTAGTAATAAGTCATGCTTTGGCGAGGTTTTCTCGGACGATTAATTAAGCAGCCTGTTCTGAGAGGATTTACTGAGCAAAGACATCAAACATGAAATTTCTGATAATGCAAGCAGAATACATGTACCCGAACATGTACAATGTAGTGTTCAAACTGTCCATTTCCGAGCAGGTGAGGGCGACACAGCCTGTAAGCAGACTGACACGAACAGGTGCCAGCCAGCTTACACTTCAAATTAATAAATAAAATGGTAAAATCACCTACTTATTTGCACATGTTTTTCAGGGGTGAGATTAGAAGAAAGTGAACTATCCACAGAGCACTCTCCAGAGGTTTTGAGGGCCCAACAGCAACGTAGGATCTATGGTCTACATTTGAGTTTGCCTAATGGCACCCTTAGAATACCTTTTTATCGTCTTCTCTATCAACTTTCATACTGCAGAACACCTAAATGATAGACTCTGGACTTTTAAGATTTTCCAAAAAATTGTTTGTAAAAATCACAAAATCAGGGAAATCCTGCCAAAAAAATCCTGACATATTTCGTTCCTACTTTCTATCTGATGCTGTGAGACACCATTCAGAATTTCAGACAAAAAAGTCATTCAGTTGAGTATAGAACATGCAGAGCCAATGAAAAGGAAACGTATCTGCGGCAAGTGGAGCCCCCATTTCAGGGCAAACAGCTACATTCAAACATAATGACTACATGTGCCTCTCTGCCTGCACAATTACATGTACCTCCTTCACATCTGGGTGGAAAGAGGAATCAATACGGACAAGTCTTGCCAAGGATGCGCTGCAATTGCACAAGCAGCAGCCCAATCTCACCAAATGTGGCGTCACTTTGAACCATGCGTAAACGTTGCAATACGCTTCACTCAATTTCATGAAAAGTTGCGTAGATGTGCCACGTTTTAATAATATTAAATTTCTTGGAAGAGGACAAAAACGGCTTTTATGACGGCTGTTCCTTTCCAATATAAGAGCAGTCATCAAACAGTCATTGAATCACATCTGCCCGCCATTTTGAAAAAGTTTTCGTCTTTTCTTCATTGGAACCGGACAAAAAGTCTCGCAGTTTTTTCCTACCCACACAAGTTTATTATTGCCTTCTACAACAAAGTTGTTTCTGTCTTGTATATGCCTTGATAAGCTCAGCAACGATGAGGCTTAACCACACCCGATAAGCTAGTCAAATCGTTCATTTTCGCTTCGTTTGGCGCTACTTACGCCACCTAAAATGACTGCGTAAGCTATGCCATTATTTGTTGCGTGAGTAGTGGACTTACGCAGTGTGTAAGTTTTGAGAAATTCGTCTTCATTAGTTGCGTAACTTATCCAATAAAATGTGGCATAAGTGGAGTTACACCATTATGTAAAGTTTCGTGAAATCAGCTGGAGGACTCAAATCCACAAACTCCAGAATGATTAGTGCTACTGCCCAGAGAAACTCCAAACAGACTGCACTGATAAGTCCTAAAAGATCCCTGCTGAGCTTTTTTTTTTTGTATCATCACAGCTTAATTTTATCAAGCCAAGCACGCCAGAAATTTCATACTGATAACTTACCGTACAGTCCCCTTGACTACAAAATGAAATCCGAACATACAGTAACCACAAGATATCGTTTACAATATTTTGGCACAATTGCAGGCAACATTAACCTGCATAAAAGGAACTTCTTTTGGTACTTTTGAACTGTCTTACCGGATCTCCAATGTGGATCACAACAGACACATTTTTGTTCTCCTTGTCGATGGCCTCTACAAAGTTCTGCTTGGTCAGGTTGATAACTTTCCCAAACACCGGCCTACAGAAAAAGCGGTTATATGGAAATTTACTACGTTAAAAAATGAACTCTTTAGACAACTATAAGGAAAAAATGGTGCTCATTAAACACATGATAACAAGTGACTGTCTAGCAGGTTCCATCCTTAAGTTGTGATGCAAGATTGTAAAGTGCTGTGTGCCATGATGGTCAATATAAACCATACAGTGCATCTCTTAATACTAGAGACATTTACACTGTATCCATATCAGTCGGCCAAGAACGCACTCCATGAGGAAGTAGTTTCATCAACAATAAAGCAGTCGTTATCGTTTAACACCACATTCCAGATTCTGCAGTTATTATATTATACTGGAACCGCGCACAAATGTAGATCCATTTGATTCTAAATGAATTGAAAAAGGTTACGTGTACATGTACTTCACATTTCAAACATTTCCAGTGATGGAAATGGTTTAAGCATTTGAATTCTTAAGCACTTCGGACCGGGGCATTTTTCAACGTTGAGGATGCTGGGCCGGCATGACTTTCATTTTTTCCGTTTTCAAAATCCTTCAACAATTCATCATTCCATTTAACAGTCGTTCATAGCCGCACGGAGTAATCTTCAGGCACTACTCTAAGTTGACAGGTGACCTTCATTGACACCCGAATATTTCAGCCAGGCCTGCAGCCTTGTAAACAGAGCCCAGATTGTGCGGTGTTATACAGCTGTCTTTTGTCC